CCCCACTCAAATACTATACAATCTCTTTTTTAAAAAGAACCCCCCCCCCAATCTCTGTAAAACAATGTAATTTCCCTAAACTGCAAAACTGGGAGAAAAAAGATGGTGGGAAATGTTCCTTCACTCTCCTAAAAGAGCTTTTATTTTATAGTTTGTTAAGACCCTAAATCTAAAGATGGACCAGAGAGCCAGGCCTAGCGGCAAGTAAGCTCCTCTGGGGGTAGACAGGGGAGGATGGGAAGTACATGGTCTGCTTGGACAGCCCAGTGAAACATTGTCTCCAAACCAAGGCAGGAGGAGGGGCAGTACAGCTAGGGGAAACACTGGGGAAAGCATGTGTTCAATCCTCAGTAACACACACACACACACACACACACACACAGAGAGAGAGAGAGAGAGAGAGAGAGAGAGAGAGAGAGAGAGAGAGAGAGAGAGAGAGAGAGAGAGAGAGAGAGAGAGAGAATATCCACTATTTTTACAATCTCGTTATCAAACTTCAATGGAAATCTCTGCCAGTACATTGTTTCTGAAGTCTCTTTAAAATGACATGTCACTACTAAATTTAGTCAAGGCAAATGCTTGTGAAAACAGACTCCTTTAAAATTTCCCATACTTCTAGTCTTTTGCAGTATTTTCTAGAATTTGGGGATAATATTGTTCAAGGGTTTTTTGTTTTGTTTTAAGCTTCAGTTGGTCTCACCAGCAGATAGTGGTGTAACAGCACTCCCAGCTCCAGCTTCCTGAGAGGCGAGGCAAACTGATGCATCTCAGACTGGCTTCAAGAGAACAATTTAAATTGTCTAACACTATATCATGGATTTGTTCAATAATGGGAATCTGATTTCTGTAGTCTATTAGATGAGACCCTGTGCTATCTTGGTTCACAGACTGCTGAGGTTCTCTCACTCCTCATGGCTCTAACTGAGCCATTCATTCATCAAGTCTGTGAATTCCGTGCCAAACAGGAAAACCCGGGCCATTCTAGCCATTTCAGGAGGTTTCAGGGAAACTAGGGTTCTCCTGACATTAAATCATTTGTTCCTCTTCTGTGAGGACCTGGGGAATTAAGGAAAGTATGCTATCTGTAATAGCATGTTATAAAAGCAGAATAAATTGGCACATGGCTCAGAGCTATTCACCTTTCCATGTTTGGAGTTGAGCAAACCATGAATTAGGAACGTTAATCACCTTTCTTTAATCGAGGACTTTCAAGACTTTCCTTGGCTAACTAAGATGAGATGGAGTTAGCTGTTTGATTTCTACAGACAGTGTAGCCTATAGAATGGTCTGCTGCAGGAAGATCTCTGTGAGTTCGAGACCAGCCTGGTCTACAGAGCAAGTTCCAGGACAGGTTCCAAAGCTACACAGAAAACTTGTCTCGGGGGGAAAAAATGGTCTGCTGCAGAAGTTCAATTTAATGTAAAACAAACTGTTTCTCAGATTGTGGGACAAATGTGTAATACAACAGAGTAGGTAGGGGCTGTGCGAACTAGCCCCTCCCACCACACCACACTTCTTAGACCTCCCAGAAGGCACTTTACTGAGTTCAAATCCTGAGCTAGCATTCTCTTGGCCTGCAAACAGCATCCACCATTAGAGTTCTAGGATTCCTCCTTACTCTCTCTGTTCCAGCAGGAACTCACAGCAAATGCTAGTAATAGCTCTCTCTGCCTGAGGCTGGGGGCACAGAGGGCTACACCTGGCAAAAGCCTCTTCCAGGTCACTACTGCTGAGAGAGCAGAGTCACAAGTTAGTAGTATTTTCTAGATGGCTCTCTACTTTTTAAAGGCCAAGAATTCTAAAACCTTAATGGAGTTAAGTGGCATTTTTAGAGGTTATTTGAAGGAAGCCCCCACTGAAATCTCTTGGTAGATCACACTGGTGCCCATTGTTAGGGCTGGTGCCTCACTCTTGTTTACGGACCATGAGAAGGGAATAAACCAGGGCTTCTACCAAAACACCCACAGAATAAGTAGTCAGGAAAAATTATTAATTTATGATCATGTCGTCTCGTTTTTTTCCTTGTAGTGTTGGGGATAGAAACAAGAAGGCTGAGACATTTAAACATCAAACAGCACAGAGACCAAGCTAGGATTGGGGAAAAATATGGACGGAATATATCGTATAAAAAATGTTTAACCAAAAAGTTTTTAAAAAGAAAAAGAGAGAGAAGCTGGGTGTGATGGCTACAGCGTTTGTCCACTTGACAGGATCTAGAACTTCCTAGGAGACAGGCCTCTGGGGTATTGCCTAGCTTAGCTTTGGTGGGAAGAGACAGCTCAGCTGTGAACAGCACCAACTCCACGGCTGGGAGCCCTGGACTGAGCTGAATGGAGACAGAGGGCTGCACACCCCCAGTCCCAGCTCTCCCCTTCTGCCCTGGCCACCAGCTGACAGCAGCCAGGGTTAGCACAGCTCCACCTTCCCATGTGATCACCTCCCCTGGGGCCGAAGCAAACCCCTCCTCCTTAGACATTCCATTGCAGGGGCAGTAATCCTGGAGTGTGGTGGTGCACACCTATAATTCCAGTGCTCAGGAGGCCAAGGCCGAAAGACCAAAAGTTACAGGCTAACCAAGACCTTGTCACACACATAAAAAAGACTGCAAGAGTTACCATTAACTGAACACACACACTCTGCCCCATTAATGCCCGAGAGAATTAACACGCCTTCCCCAAGGGCCATGTCAGAGGATGAGAGGAGACTCTGAGCTTTCTATTTTCCACGGGGATTCGTCAACAAAGAAGAAACCAAAGTCAAGAGAATGAGAGAGAGAGAGAGAGAGAGAGTTGGGGGGGGGGGTCCTTGAAGCAGGTGCCTGCTTGACCAAAGACTGAGGTCAGAACCTGAAAGCCGAACCAGGGCTCTGCTCACAAGGGTAAGCTTCACATTCCATGACAATGAAGGAGTGTCATTTAGTGTCATTTATGCACATTTAGCCGAGAAAAGAAAACCTCGGAAATACGCTTTCACTTATTACTCATGGGCTCTCAATAAATAAACTCAAGTAATGTGTATAAAATAATGAGGACATCACTCTAAAATAAGCATGGCTAGCTTTGCTGAACTTTCAGGACGTTTAAAATGCTGCCACAGCGTCTAAGTTGTCTTTTAAAAATTCTAAAACAAGCAAGCAAAGCAACAACCTTAAGAATGCAGAGACCGGATGATTTACATAACACCAAATCCAAGAATCTTTTCCACATCAGCCAGACAATTGGCCAAACAGTTCCATTTGAGTGCTTTCAGGGACAAAGCATATTTTTTTAAGAAGTGTGGGCCATCTCCACTTCAATCACACAGCTTATTGACAGGGCCATTGGCTAAGTCTGACAGTGTCCCCAAACCGTGTGTCTAGGTAACAGAGTCCTAACATGCAGAAGTGTTTGTGGTGGCGTCTGATGGGAAAGGTTTAGGTCACGAGACTCAAACTTTATAGGCAGGGTTAGCCCATTGTAAGGGCTCAAGGCTAAGAGTTTGACATTATGGTCTACAATACCATGTGACAGCTTCTGTCACATGATCACATTAAGAAAACCCTCACTGGATGTGGTTTTCCTTGATTACGGACTTCTGGCCTCCAAAAGATGCTGTTTACTACAAATTCCCCAGTCGATGGTACTTTGCTGGGGAACACAAACCAAGGAAGAGTATTAGATGAAGAACCTGTCAGCAGAGAACTTGTATCATCAGAACCAAGTTTGCTTCCCAGGAAACACTGGATTAGTCCAGTTTCTTCATCTTTCACAGTCAGCTTTGACACTAGTAATGGACCTAACATTCTGGGTGTGTGCAGACAACAGGTCAACACAGGGTGACTTTCTCAGTGTCACTAACTGAGCCTGGGGCTCGTGGATTCAGCTTGGTTATAACAGCCACCTGATTTCTCTAAATCAGGTTAGAGAAAAAGAAGTTACTATGGTGAAAACTATAGGAAACACAACAGAGGGGCATCATGCCAAGATAAAAATCTTGGATTTAAATTCCCAAATTAAAAATTCATATATTATTAAACAATGGTTCAATCCAATCTGAACTAAATCTGATAGGTCTTAATGAGGACCTGCAGAGGAAATCACCACTAAGCAGTTAAACAATACATATTTGCTAAATAAAAATTATTTCACAACAAAGCCTGAAGTCAAATGCACCACAAAAATTCCCAAGGGATGAGGGTAGTGTTCCTGGTTTCTGGAGTGAAGTATGAAGTTACTGTTTCGTGGACATTTAAAGCATTAAAAGGAGGACACTCATGAGTCCAAAACAACTCCCACTGATGGGACACTCTCCCCCACCAAAATTCTCACTAAAGGTACAGTTTAGTTGAACAATACTTGGAGTGAAATGGCTCAGATCTTAAGCTATCATCTTTCAGTTATTTAAAACTATTAGATGTAAGAAAATGATTAAAACTTCTTGTGAGCACACAATCTTGTTTAAGACCTCGTGGGTTTTCTATGACCCTGACAGTGTTTATGTAACACTTTAGCTAATGGTAAAAAGAAACAAAGATACAGCTCAGCTTTCTGCAATATCTTTTACAACATGTTCACACAATTCTCATACTTTAAATGTTTAATACATTCCGTCAACTGTCTATGATTTACAATGATTTTCATTTCCACATAGTTCTCATAATTAGGAGTTGTACAACTAGTTTTTAGTAGGAACCAGGGGAAAGATAAACTTGAGGATGCCTCTTGCCCTCAGATGTGTTATAAGTCACTTGGTCACTTTTAACTTCTTAGCTCCAAGGGGACATTGGGCATACCTGACTGTTCACATAGCCCACGGGGCACTATTCCCACTATAGAAACATCTGTCAGTGGGAGAGTTGAGGGGGCGAAAGAGAAGGAAAATAGTTCAGGCTCTCTTTGGGAGCATTTCCCAGCTGCACCCTCTCACTGCCACGACCAGAGAAAGCCATAGGAAGGCAAGGGCCCAGGGAAACAACTTTTTCCATTACCTGTATGCATGCATGTCCCACTCTCAGTGCTTACCTCCAATATTCTGAATTATTATTGTGCCTGCCACCACCACCTAAAAGAGAACAGATGTATTCAGAAGATAAAGGGGGAAAACAGTAGGAAAGGACAGAAGTTTATTAAAATTAACAACCAATACCACAAAGACAGATGCACAACTCATGACTGAAGACAATGGAAAGAATAAATTTTGTCAGCTGTTTGTACTGTGTAAAATTAATAAATATCACATAAAAAGTACTTCCTCAATACCTCCATAGTTACTATAAAGATATTTCCGAAGTTTTTCTTAGCAGTCATGTTTGAATAGCTAAAAAGTGTTAAAAAGCTAGTAAGTGGTGATTACCAACATCTAATAAACGGACATCGACTCTGGGAAGTCCTGTGGTCCCTTTCTTACTGGCCTTACCACATTGCTTTAGTAGGTATCCCAAAACAGACTGGAGTGTGCTTTGTCAACACTATAATACCTAAAGGGAAAAGATGATCGATCTTCTGACATCAGGTTGACATGGAGCCCGTATTTGGGTATGCTAGTCTCAAAAGATTAAACAGCAGAAAACTCTAGGGCACAATGACCAGATCTGGAAAACTTAGGCAATGTGTTATAAGCTAAGTTTAAAAGAGCACGTGGTGGCAAAGACAACAGTAAACTGGACCCTCTTCCTCAGGCGCATCTCCTTTCCACTAAGTCTGGCCAGTTGATGGCATGGAAAAGTGGGTCCAAAGTAGCCAGATCACTTAGTATTTAGTAAGTCAGAAATTGAATTTCACACTTTCAAGAGTATAAAGGTTGGCAACTGGCTAAAAAAAAAAAAAAAAAAAAAAAAAAAAAAGGCCCCAGGACTATGTCCAGTCAGTTTCTGGACTTGGATGAGACTCCTGGGGAACTCAAAGTAAATGTTTAAATAGTATATTTTCTCTTGGGCCTCCTGACCACTAAACACCTGGGTTGTAACCACCAGCAGACATTTGGAGCTGACTAGCTACCTGTATCATTCAGGCCTCCATAGACTAAGGACAGGTCATACGTGAGGCTCACCTTTACTGAGAATTCCTCCTGGGGCAGAGCACTGCTCATCCTGTAATCATCTAGCTTACTGGGACCTGAAGTCCTTGCAGATGCAGAGGAAGCCTAATGATCTGGAAATCTGGCAAGGTCTCTAGAGATGCAGGTGTGCTAGACATTTTCATGTCAACTTGACACATCTGAGAGGAGGGAACCTCAATTAAGAAAATGTCCCCATAAGATCCGGCTGTAGGCAAGCCTGTAGGACATTTTCTTAAGTAAAGATTGATGTAGGAAGGCCTAGCCCATTGTGGGTGTTGCCATTCCCAGGCTGGTGGCCCTGAGTTCTATAGAGAGCAGGCTGAGCAAGCCATGAGGGGCAAGCCAGTAAGCAGCATGCTTCCATGGCCGCTGCATCAGCTCCTGCTTCCACGTTCTTGCCCTGTCTGAGTTCCTCCCCTGACTTCCCCCAACAGTGATGGACTGCTCCCTGGAAGTATAAGCTGAATAAACCCTTTCCTTCCCAGTTTGCTTTTTTTTTTTTTTTTTTTTTTTTTTGTGGTGTTGCATTACAGCAATAGTAACCAAAACAGTGTTCACTGCTGTGGAATAGTCCTCCTGTACACTGTGAATATGTATTACTCTCATTGGTTAATAAAGAGTTGATTGGCCTGAAGACAGGTAGGAAGTATAGGCAGGACAGCCAAACTGAGAATGCTGGGAGGAAGAAGGGCGGAGTCTGAAGACGCCAGCCAGCCACTGAAGAAGCAGGATGTGTATGTAGAAAATGAGGTAAGGAGCCATGACCCACATGGCAAAGCGCAGATAAGAAATAGGGTTAACTTAAATGTAAGAGTTAGCTAGTATCAAGCCTGAGATAATATCTATCGGCCAAGCATTTATAAATAATATTTAGCCTCTGTGTTGGTTATTTGGGAAATGGCTGCCGGGACAAGAAAATGCTGATTACAGGTCATGGCAACTCTGATGTTTTCTAGGAGGCAGTTTGCACCTCAGCTTAAATATGAGTTTCTGAAATCCAGTCATTTGTGGGAAGACCATTCTGCCTTGGTGTTTGCTACCTGCAATGCAAATGAAACCCACTGGCTACATACATAAAATACTTCTATTTCCTATGAGTATATTGCAAATATAGTATCTTAACACTAACCCCTTCTCTAATTTTAGGTATTTAATGTTTAGAAAGCCAGAATGAATGTCTGCCTATCTATATTTTCTGTGCCTACTACAGAGCATGGCCACAGCATTGCTCAATACATCCTCAGCTGATAAATAAATACATAATTTAAAGATAATCTTTAAAATTTTCCTTAAAATTTTATCAAAAATGTATCTTTTTTTGTTTTGTTTTTTGTTTTTCGAGACAGGGTTCCTTTGTGGTTTTGGAGGCTGTTGGAACTAGCTATTGTAGACCAGGCTAGTCTCCAACTCACAGAGATCTGCCAGTCTCTGCCTCCTGAGTGCTGGGATTAAAGGTGTGCACCACTACTATCATCCAACCACACATCAAGAAAATGGGAAGATTTCAGACCAATTATAGAAACTGGGAAGAAACACAAACAGAATCTAGCAAGTCCTCGCTCTGGACATGCTCTGTCAGCACAGCTGCCTCCTAGGCACGGGGACACTTGTAAATAATGATGCAACAGCTCATACTCAGGAAGGAGAGTCCATAGCCCTCGATCTTGGAGACGGTGCTGCTCTGCAGAGATGAGGGAACTAGAACTGGAGCTGATGGTGGTGCCAGTGATAAATAAATATGAATAGCCATTGAGACACCAAAACAGAAGAGAAGTAACTTAACCGTAACAGTAACAGCAACACTTACGGCCTGGTAATCTGTAGGAAAAACATTTCCCTACAGCTTTAAAGTTAGAAAACCACCGAAAACTAGTGCCAATAAAAATGTACTTTACTTTTATTATTCCAAGAAGGAGACCCAGTATATGTAGCATCTACAGTCCTCGGATGTGGAACTGGTGTTGGGTAACAGTTGATAACAGGTTGCTTAACATTTTGGGTCTCAATTTTCTCACATGTAAACAAGGGGATTGCTAGGCAATCTTTCAGCACTGTTCAGCTCTTAAATAATATGACCCAGCTAATTGCTGCTTTTGAAATCAGCCGGGCTATGATTCTAATTCTGTTGCTTCCTTCCCTCTTCAGGATTTACTCAGAGAATCTGATCAAAAGTAATGAGGAAAACTTAAGAGTCCCATTACTTCTGCAGCTCACCGAGTTGGCAACAAGACTTAAAAAACTGAACTGGTTTACAGATGCGCTTCGGAAGGGGCACACATTTCTCTTTACTTTCCTGTCCCATTGTTCTCTTTTCTTATTTTCATTTATTCTTCATCTCTTAAGGTCTTTCTTAACTCTTGAAGGAAAAGAGAAATGCCCCTGAGGAGAAAAGGAAATTACCTTTCCAGGTAATCCAAATGCAAAGAGACCAAGATCTTCATAAGACGTCACCGCTGTTAGGAGAAAAGTACAATTGTTACTTTTACACAAAATTATTTATGAAGGTTATTTTACTCTTACAAGCTAGGCAGCTTCAGCTAGTTGGCACTAGCTGGAGGGGAGCTACCACACCCTGGGATGTGTATGTGTGGGGTAAAGGTAGAAAAGAAGGCCGAGATCACTCGGCTGGTTCCTAGCCCTTTGAGAGTTTTCTTTCTGAAATATTTTAAATTCCCACTCCAAATGTTTCCCACATGCCTCAGTTTTAGATGTTTTGTAGGATGCGCCTCTTTAACAGTGATGGGTTTTCCTATCTCTCTCTCTCTCTCTCTCTCTCTCTCTCTATATATATATATATATATATATATATATATAAAAATTGATATATATGTATATACATATATATATATCAATCACCAAGGGGGCCATGGGAGATGGTTCAGTAGTTAAAAGCTCCAGGTTGATTCCCAGCACCCACATGAAGCATACAACTGTCCACGACTCCATGTTCTGAGGATCTGATGCCCTCTTCTGGCCTCTAAGTGCACAGGGATGCACAGATACACACATAGGCAAAACACTCAGGCACATTTAATATCAAAAACTTCACCAAGGACTCCTTTTATTGTGCTTCTCTAGTGCAGCCATGTTCTGATTTTGTTTCTCAACTGCACATATTAATGGTTATTGTCCATGGCTACTATGTTCCTAACTTCTGTATGATAACCAGTATCACCATGCTAATATTGGTAACCAGCTAACTGACATTTTTCTACCTGACAGCTCAAGGGTAGATCTGTGTTTCTCTTAAATATTCTAAAATACCAAAAGTAGCAGAACAAAATGAAACACACACACAAACCTTTAAAGATGCAATCTCTGTAGAGCTGGAGTCTACCTACAACAGGCAGATGTCAGCAAATCCAGGCTACTCAGCCTATGTTCATTCAATGGCCTGATTTCCTGAGAACACGCTGCTTCCCTATACAGGACATGTGTACTTGCATACACAGTATCCAAATAGAAATTTTCACTGGCAAGAATTTCTAAACATTGCACACATTTGCCTTCACAAGTGCTTAGAGTGATGATAAATGTGTTCACAATGGAAATAGTACCTTCATCTTATAATTAGGGAGGGGCACATACTTTCTTTTTTCATCATAAAAATGTTAAATTACATTCTCATTTCATTATGTTCAAGATGTATGGCTAATAAGAACATATGGAAATTGAAGGGCTTGCACAAGAGTCCCATTATGGTCTCAGCACGTATAGCTTTGTGCTTTAACCAGTGATGCTGCTGTTTATGGAGCTCTACAGTCTGAGACGTGCACACGCCCACAGCGCTTACACTGAAGAGAAGCATGCTGTGAGACATGAAGGCTTGGGACAGCAATAGTTTCTGCTGGTTACAAATGTGGCTCATTACTTAAAGGCAGTTCTAATACATCTCTTAGGACATACTTGGGCTTTCTTTCAATTGCCACTTGAGAACAAAAAAAAAAAAAAAACAAAAAACACATTTTTTTATATTTTCATAATGAAGGACATTCAGGTACATAAAAATTACTTTTTAAAAATCATAGGTGCTTTTGCATACAGTAACTATGGGATACTAAATAATAAAAAGGTATTAATAATTAACAAAATCTTCATTTTAATCTATTATCAAAGTTCATCAAGGGATTTGGGTATTTTTTGAGTGAGAGTGATCTATTTATTTTTTAAAAGTGCATTAACATTCTGTTAAACATAGCACACATGTATATTTTAGTACTGGACTTGGACGACATATTTTTATTATGGGTCAACCATCTATGAAGGTCACATGGGCTCAAGGAAGTCCACACTCATGCTCAGGTGTGCCTTGTTTCATGCCAGCCTTTCTCTCAACCCTTGTGCTTAAACTCTGTACTTACAATGCCGTTTTATAAACTCTAACTCTGATTCACACTGGCTTGTACAGAAACTCTTCTCTGTGGAGAGGCCAAGGATCCCGTTTCCCCTGAGGCGGGGCCCTGAAAACATCATGAAAACTGCCAGCCCTGGCTGCTGGCAGGATTACAGCAATGCACGCACCATTACTCCAGACTTCCTTTATTGCTTAAGAAAAACATTTCTGCGTTGTCAGTTTTTTGGTTTTTTTTTTTTTTTTTTTTTGTCTTTTTTGTCACTTTATACAAATTACCTACATGCCTTACTATTTGAAAAATAAATTCCTGGTTTTCCAATAATAAATCTCTTCCTCCAACTCTCCTGGACTTTTTCCGTTTAATTACTTTCTATTCGGAGGTAATGGTAACTCATAAGCAATGATTCGTGTTTATTGTCTTTCTCAGTGACTTCCACGTTTATGTCTATATTAGATAGAGCTTGTGAGTTTAAACTGGCATATTCAATTAATTCCTCAACTTTCCAGAAGTAAGCATGCATCAGCATTTATGTAAATTTAAGCTGAAGTAAATATAACAACAGAATAATCACAGTGATGCACACAATGAGATAAATGTATAGGCAGAGAGTGCAGACGATGATGTGGACAGCATAGCTCCATTTTTACGACTCTGGCATTCTAGCGACAGTAAGCACATTTGAAGTTTCCTCTATTCTAAGATGATTTCTACTTAAATTCCCTTTCATATTTTCTAGGCTATAATCTTTCCTTTGAGCTAAATTCTTCTGGAATAAAAATTCTTCTCTTCTCATAAGTAAAATAGTTTAACATCTCATTAATTCCCTTACAATATCATAGATTATGTGTCAAAGGCATATATACTTGTTAGTTTGAACAGATCAAATATGGCAACAGAAAATCTCATCAGACCGTGTTTTAAAATAGAATAATTTAGGTGGTGTTAAAAAAGAGAAAAAGAAAAACATTTCTCCCAAGAACTTTAAAGCAATGAGGTTTTCCAGTGTCACACATGGCACAGCATTAAATATTGCTTTCCACGTTGCTATTTTGTATGTTTCTCAGTAAGTAAGCAAAGATGGCATTCATTAGAAAGTTAGACTATAGCTGTTTAATTTTTGTTTTTATGTTGGGTTTTGAAACTAAGTTCTTCATATGCTAGATACATACTCTACCACTGAGCTACATTCCAGCCTTGTTTTATATTTAAAATAGTAGGAAGTACATACTGACTGCATATCTAGTACACAGGAAAAGCAAATACCTATTATTAAAAAAGAAAATTCACACTGAAAAATTTTAAAGGAAAGCAGATATGTCAATTCTAATTTAAACAGTAAGCACTTATTCTAAATTTTAAAAGTTAAAATTTGACCTTTGTTTGTGCCAGGAAACAGAGAACCTCACAGGTTAATGATGACAGTTTTAGCTGTCACTTCTGACAGTTTTGCAATTTAGAACTTGCCCTCTGGCTTCATAAAAATATCTCTACACACCACAACGTCCTGAGCTGAAAGAGGAAAAGCACTAGGCTTTTAAATGGAGACCGAGTCCAGTGCTCCAACCCTCGCTCCAGCCTTTCCCATCGTCAGCATGTCTGGGCCTTGCTCAGTCTGTCACTGTCACCAGACCTCTTTTGTGTTGGAAAAATTAGAAGCACTTTCCCCAGCCCAAGATCATAAATATGAATAATACCTTCTGGCTTTGCTCTGAGGCTTTGCTAAGATGGACCGTGGACACAGCCAGCAAGGGCTTTCTCCCACATCTCAGCACATGAACCAAGACAACCTTGTGAAAGGTTCTCAAGTTCTGTTCTGTGGCCTGGGCAGTTTCTTCAGATGCTGGTGAGATATAAAACTGCACTGATGGTTGGAATGCAGTTTCAACAATGAGCCTTTAAAATATTAGAACATTCGAACATGAGAGTTTTATCCAAGGAGATAAGAATAAAACTGGGGAACTCATTAGATATTTAATCATGCCACGATTTACATTGGAAAAACAGAGCTAGCCTCAGTGCTCTGTAAGGTGGTTAAGTAAATCATGGTGGGTATCCCTTATGGAACACTATAACCATGAAAGCCTGTTTATAATAACAGCAAAATGACAATAGTATTTTAAATGAAAAAACAAAACAAGCAACCAACCAACCAGGATTCAAACATAGTTTGTTAAGTAAAACAGGCAAATGGTGAGTAAGTCTTCAGTCACTTTTCTTTTGCTTTCTGTATTTTGGAGGAAAGGAGGAGTTCAAACATTTTATAATGACTTGAACAACAAAGGTGGAACTTAACTTTTAAGAACCACAACGCTGAGCATATTGGCAGAGGCCTGTAATCCTTGCCACTTGTGAAGCTGAGGCAGGAGGATCTCTTGAGTCCAAGAATTTGAGAGAAGCTGAGCAAGACCCTCCTAGACTGGCTCAAAACCAAAAACCAAACAATACTTCAATAGCTCCAACTCTTCTATAAACTGGAGAGCTCGCAGTTGCACTAACTTTTAATTGTTTCTAGTGCTAAGTAATGTGCTGCTTTATCTACCAGCAAGGATTCTTTCTTTCTTCCTTTCTTCCTTTCTTTCTTCCTTCCTTTCTTTCTTTCCTTCCTTCCTTTCTTTCTTTCCTTCCATCCTTTCATCCTCCCACCCCTCTATATACTTTACAGCATTATAAACATTTAGACAATGCTTCATAGACACAAAAGTAAGATGCTGATAACCAATTACAGGAGTAGCATATTCCTACTGAATGGGGATGGTATTAATTATGTAACTAACAGAGTCTTCTACACATGGCACTTGAAGCAAACCTCTTTTAACAGCTGAAGCAATCACTAGCAATGCACCTCAGAAATTATTTTTGATATTAAAAGAAATCAGTGCTGTGCTCTGAAGGAATAGAGGGGCTGTTAAGTCTTCATCTGTAAATGGGGAGTTTTTCCTTTAAAGTGTGTGAGGCCCAAGACTCACATCCTTCACAGGAACTGCTGGAAAGCTGCTTCCCATGAAATAGTGGAGCATTTCCAACTAGTTACTCCAGTGTTCTGTCTGCTTTGCATTTTTTCCTCAATGAAATAGGACAATTAATAAACTCTGGTTACA